CATCGTTCATTCTCTCCCCGTTGCCATTTCGCCCGAGTTGAAAACGTTTGCCACGACTCGCGATTCCACGTTCACCAGAACGTGTGCGTGCACGGGGCGCAGCTGCGTTGGTTAATTGACAGAAAGGGCACGCCACGGGAAGCACCTTGTAAATTTACCCCCACCCGTGTAATTCGATCAAGAACCCCGTTGACTCGCGACACTGTTGACATTTGGTTATTTTGACGTCACGCTGCGCAACCATCGATTCGAGTGAACTTCCACGGAGCAATGGCACTCGCAACCCTTCCACTTCTACGGGGGACTACCACCCGTGGACACCGCTGCTCCCGGCGAACTTGCGACAGGGATGCTCAGGAATTAACGGACGCCAGATTGAAACAATTGTCCCGCAATGAATCGGAGATATTTCTCTCTTAGAGAGAGAGAGAGTTTGTAATAGGGACACCGTGAGCGTCGATATTTTCTAAATACTATGTCCTTTGTCTTATTAGTTAAGTGGATTTATATATATATATATAGTTACATTTTGTATTTATTATTGTATGTATTATATATATATAACTGTAATTTTTATGCACGATCGATATAATCTAAAAAATATATTAATTAATATATATATATATATAAATTTGTAAAATATAAAACATATTTTATTTTATAATATATTTATTTTATAAAATATGAAATATATAAATTTATATACACATATATATATATATATATTGTAAAAACTGTAATTTTTACGATCGATATAATCTAAAAAATATATTAATTAATATATATATATAAATTATATTTTGTATTTATTTATTCTTTGCTGCTGTCAAACAATTCTTTTTTTCTAAGACGCGACATATTTATTTTTTTAAATTTTCTTTCGTCCGTCGCAACTCTTGCGCTGAAACGACGTGCCACGAACGTCGAGAATTTTTTTTTGTCCCATTGTAACATTCTCTCAGTTTTGAGTACATATATCTAAATGTATACCCAGGTAAAACAAATGATAAGTTTGTTACTTGTTATTTCTATCCAGTGATGTCATATCGACGAGTTTAAAAGAAAAAGAAAGCGAATTGTTGTATATGGTTCGGTCACTTGTTATGGTCCGCGAATCGGTTGCCAGCGCAAAAGGGATCCTTTGGAGGTGTAATTTCTTTTTTTCAATAACTAATTTTTATACGCGTCTGATATAATCCTATTTTTAACCCTTTAAGGATTTTTTTTTTAAATTCTTAATTCAGGTGTCACACATACACGTTCAAAAAAAAAATTAATTAATATATATATATATATATATAAATTTTGTAAAAACTGTAATTTTTATGCGCGGTCGATATATTTTTAACCCTTTAAGGATTTTTTTTTTAATTCTTAATTCAGGTGCCCCACACACACACACACACACACACGTTAAAAAAATATGTATTAATTAATATGTATATATATATATATATAAATTTGTAAAATTTAAAACATATTTTATTTTATAATATATTTATTTTATAAAATATGAAATATATAAATTTATATACACACATGTATATATATAAATTTTGTAAAAACTGTAATTTTTATGCTCGATCGATATAATCTAAAAAATATATTAATTAATATATATATATATATAAATTTATAAAATATAAAATATGAAATATATAAATTAATATATATACATAAATTTTAATCCTTTAAAAAAGCCTACTGAATTTTGAGAAACTGTGTCTTCACTTCGTTATTCTACCTTCTTACTCTTACTCTTACTCTATAAACATTTGTAAATTTTGCATATATATACAAGGAATCATACCTACAAATACGCGTAATATCACAGAGACGGACCATGAATGATTAATCGAAAACCATGTCGTTACGTACGCGACACGAGAAACTACACGTTTCATCTGTTTATTTGTTTAAAGTAAAAACTAACGTTTCAAAAAAAATGTAAAAGAAACATCTTCAGGATCCCTGGACTGACGACATAGACCGAGAAATCTGAACAAACAAATTTCGTGCAAACGAAGCGATGTAAGAGAGTAAGATGGAGTACGAGAGACGGAGTAGCTCGTAAAATCGCGAGCCGCGTCGGCCGGTTTTTCAAGCCTAATGGAATATGATGTCAAGCGGCGCTCGCGTTGTAAATCTCGATGAATTATCGTCGTTTAAACGACTGTGAAATTAGCGGTTTAGCGAGCCGCGTCCTACGGGTTCCTCTGCGCGTAGAAGCGCACCTCGTAACTGTCTTCTAGGTGCTAAATTTCGCACGACGGCTAAAATCCCTGGACGGGAGAGTGGTTTCTGCGCGAATTCGGACTCCCTCCGTTACCTTCGAACGAGTAGCGCGATTTATTCACTGTTTGTGGCGTGGAAAAATATGAATTTAATCCCGTTATCGAAGGTTTGGGTTTAGGCTCGAGTTTCACATTTCTGCGAACGAAATTAACGAGATTGAACTCGTTTCACTCGCTGAAGAATTATAATAAATAATTTAACAGACTCGTGAGTACAGAATATACACAGGAATTCCAATCACGAAACTATCAGTATAGGAAAAAGTCTGGTAAAAGATCAGGATTTCGAGTTTTATCATGACGATTTATTCACTGTTTGTGGCGTGGAAAAATATGAATTCAATCCCGTTATCGAAGGTTTGGGTTTAGGCTCGAGTTTCACATTTCTGCGAACGAAATTAACGAGATTGAACTCGTTTCACTCGCTGAAGAATTATAATAAATAATTTAACAGACTCGTGAGTACAGAATATACACAGGAATTCCAATCACGAAACTACCAGTATAGGAAAAAGTCTGGTAGAAGATCAGGATTTCGAGTTTTATCATGACGATTTATTCACTGTTTGTAGCGTGGAAAAATATGAATTCAATCCCGTTATCGAAGGTTTGGGTTTAGGCTCGAGTTTCACATTTCTGCGAACGAAATTAACGAGATTGAACTCGTTTCAC